GGACCTAAAACCTTGCGGAGACTCCTCGGTGCTCCCAAGTGTTTTGGGGATCTGCAGCCTGCTCCCACCCCAGGGCTGCCGGCTGGGGGGCCGGATCCAGCTCCAGCTCTTCTCCCTGCACCAGAAGCCCTTGCCCAGGGGAATATTTTGGCAGCACAGAGGGACCCACAGTTGGCAGGAGTGCAACAGCTTCCCAGCACAGAGGAGAAGCCCCAAAAAATTTGGGACCTGATGGGCTTTCCTATTCCCGCTCCCTGGAGCCACTCGGGAAGCCTGTCCTCAGCTCCAGCTGGTCTGGGGAAGGGAGCATTCCTCCTCTTTCCTCAGGGAGATATCTTCACTGAGCCAGGCAAAAACGCAGCCGAGAGCCCCCAGAAATAATGGTGCAAATTACCAAAGTAATTATCCTGGCTGCTGTGCAAATCCTGCCCAGTTAATGTCAACAGTGAGGGTGGGGCAGTGCGCGGGTCCTGCCTGCATTAAACTTCGCCCGGCTAGTCGGAGGAGACAGCTGCAAAGAAGCTCTAGTTACTGCTTGTATTCCCAGAAAATAAATCTCTCCCGCTGTCGGGAATATCCCTCCATCCCCTGTGATGTGAGGCAGCTCCACGCGCAGGACCACGGAGGGTGGAGGTGGCATCATGGGGCGAGAGCGGGGATGGAAAAGCAATCGGGTCCTCCACAGCCCCTTGGGTTTTGTGGTCCCTGTCCTTGTCTGAAAAGTCCCATCATGGGGACAGAGCCGCACGTGGAGGGGATGTGGCTGGAGGCATCTCAAGGGATGGCACAACAGGGATGTCCTGGGGTGGGATTGGGGAAAAGGGGCCCTGATAGCTGTTGCTGGTCGAGAGAAAACCCAAGGCACGAGAAAATGATGGGGGAGATGATGGGGGGGGGTGGATGGAGGAGAAGGAGTGGGGGGAGACTGGGGCATGACTGGGGCTGACCTCAGCAGAGGAAAAATTCCAATTTTTCACCCTCCTTTGCTCCCTGCTCTCTCACTGTTGCATGAAGGGGTTGGATGCTTTATGAGGTTTGTTGGGGGTTTTTTTGAGTGTATCATTTTTTAAGGCAGGATCGGGGGGAGCCGAGCATCCCTCTGGGAGGTGGGGGCATCGGGGTGCAGGGGTGCCCATTCCCAGCTCTGCCTCCTCCTCACAGGTGGTTGGTGCAGCCTCACAACACTGCATTAAAATGCAAATTTGTCCCTGCCTGCTGGAAGCAGATAGTAAAACGCTAAACAGGAAAGAGGCAGCGGAGAATAAACAGAGGGCAGCGTGAGAGGGGAGCTGGAATAGAGGCTTCTTTTTAATTATTTTTCCTCTTTCTTTTTCCTTCAGTGAGATTTGGCTGTTTGGTGGGGGTTTATTTAATGGGATCTGAAGCAATAAGGGAGGAAGGTGCCGGTTTTGGACTAGCTGGGTGCTGGGGTGCAGGTGGCCAGTGGCCTGTCCTGGTGGGTGCCACCAGCCCCCAGTGCGGTGGTGGTCTGCAGCCTAAATCGCACCATCTCCGACTGCTTTCTTGGGTCTTTTGTTTTTTTAATTCCATGTCCCAGCTGGTCATTCCTGATGGGAGAAAAATAAAATCGCAGTAGTAGGAGTGAAGAGGACCAGCTGGGGAAAGGACCAGGCACCATCAGACTCCACCGGAGCCTTTACAGTGTTCCCATTTTCCTGGGGTTTGTCCCCAGCGTTTTGCCTGCTGCCTCCTGATGCATTTGCTGACAGGCTTCAAGGGCATCAGAAGCCCAAATAAATTGTTGGTGAGCTGCTTTCCTCCTGTGTCTAATGTGCAGGGGGAGCTTTTGAGGGCTGGGGTGGTGGGTGATGCTCAGG